TCTGATAGAGGACAAACTCGTCCATCCATGTCGCTATTAGAGCTCTGTCTCGAGCCTCTACTGCGGGGCGGCTAGGATATAGGCAGAAGGACGTTACTAGCAAAGATATGGAACACAACAATGGGCATTTCTGGCTTATTTGCCGTCATCAGGTAGTGATATATACATACGATTACTTCTACTGCTAAATGTACCGTATTTTCCAGACTACGCGCACTTAAAAGCCCTTAATTTTCTCAAAAAAAAAGACAGTGCGGAGTAAGGCAGCGGCGTGTACTATACAAAATCGCTTCCAAGTCAGTAACCAGAATTAATCGATACATACAAGGTGCACTGTCGTTTTTTGAGAAAACAGAAGGCTGCTACGTGCGCCTTCTAGTACGAAACATACGGTATCCACTTATTTACATTTTGTCTAATGTACTGTCATGCCGCAGGATAAGCAGCTACAATGACCTTTGTGACATCAAAGTAGTCAGCGATGGTTGGTTATGTTAAACGTCACTGGCAGGGCCGCGCTTGTACTTTTGGAGTAGTCCGGTCTAGCCTAAATGACTGTTGAAACGGCATGCTAATCATAAGGCTCCACCTTCTCCCTCGGAGGCCGTTTCTTACACATGACAGAGTGCGCAGTCCTACCGATGGCCACGCATGGCGTTTAGAGAATACGCGACCAACTGGTCGGGCTACTGGGCACGTGACACAGTTTCGTGTGGAGGTACACGAATCGAAGGATAAACTGGTTAAACAACCTGTCAGAATTCGCCGCACATTAGGCTACGGCCTCAGGCCACAAGTGGAGGAAGCCAGTACAAGTGACCTAATTAAAAAGTGCGGTGAACTAATGCTGGACTCAGTCTGGAATCGTTAAAAATTAAGCGGTAGACTCTGGGGGAGCTTAAAACATGTGATTACTTAACAACTTACCCCGTTCACTTAGATAATTAACACGCATGCTCGTTATATTAGTCTCTAATATTAAGACTTGAAAGCCACGTCCCCGAACCCGGGGAAGCAGCGAAGTAACTTGCTAGAAAAAGATTATTTGGGAAACGTGAACGAACTGTATTGGCAAGTTTCGACGCTGGCACACCATGTCGTCGTCGGACGTGAGGGAAATGTGTAAAGAACAGTGCGCATTTTTTAAACATGCCGAAAAATCAATAATGCGTTGCCATCCTTGGTCAATAGCAGGTTTTGGTGATTAGCGCTTTTTCCAGGCGTTTTTGAGATTGATGTACATTTAATCCAAATCAACGTGCCTATTGATGCATGATTCGTTAGAGTTAATAGACAGAAAAGAGATCGTCTAAAAAAGTCCTTGCGGTGACTGCGATACAATTTATAGTGGACAAACAGGAAGGTTCGCCTCTAAACGCATACATAAACATCAATTAGCGGTAAAGAGGCGCGACCACCTGTCCAAAGTCGCCATGCATGGGACCAAACCCGGATAGCAGGTTCCTGCCCATATAGGAAAGGCCACGAATTTTTAGAGGCCATTAAATCTAATGGATCATGCATTAATAGGCACATTAATTTGAATTCAACGTATATCAATCTCAAAAAAGCCTGTAAAAAGTGCTAATCACCAAAACCTGCTATTGACCAAGGTTGACAAAGTATTATCGATTTTTCGGCATGTTTAAAAAAATGCGCACTGTTCTTTACACATTTCCCTCACCTCCCACGACGACCTGGTGTGCCGGCGTCGAAAACTTACAATACAGTTCGTTCACGTTTCCCAAAGAATCTCTTCTATCAAATTACATTTCTTGGGATGCCTATTTTCAAATTCATACAGCGAAGTAACGTTTAATTGGGCTCAGTTCAAAGTATATAGATTGATGGATCCCTTTCATCATTCCCAAAAGAGGAAGAGGGGGCGATTTTTGGGAACAAGTTGTATTTTAGCTGATGTTTAGAAAGCCTTCTCGCTTTCATCGTCAGAGCATCAGACTAAATGTGACGGGCCGCAGCAGCCGCAGAAGAAATTTGTCCTCCGTAATCGACGATGTCCTTTTTACTTAGCCTATTTTTTGTGGTCTAGTTCTTTTCCAAACCCGGTGATGAATTTCAGCACAACACCATTTCCGTCATTACACGTTTGGCAACAAGCCCCGAGGAGTGTATGCATCAAAATGGGGCCTTGCTGGGACCAGACTAGAGTCGCAAAATCTGCGTATCAAATATAGTCCGCCGAAGCGAAAGGAAAAAAATAGAAAGGGAGGATTAAAAATGATCCACTGCTTTCCCCAAAGCTGCGCTCAGCATAGAGCGGGTCAGCTATCTACAAAAGATTGCATTGATACAAAAAAGTTACAAGTGGCATCAGGCTCAATGTGACGGACAGCAACAGCCGCAGAGTAAATTTGCCCTCCGTAATCGACGATGTCCAGTTTACTTTGTCTATTCTGTAATGTAAATGTACGATAGCGACAATTCAATAATTTCATGCTGCTTATCATAGGGTATCAGACGGTGCGTAGCAATTTTCCGCCCACCGACAACAGGGTAGATTGTAGGGCTGCTCTCATTGATGTCGAGAGTGCTTCTACTTTTTGGTTTTTAGTTAAAGCTGTGTTTTTTGAAGGCGGGGTATGGTAGATCCAGATACGATTACTGGTAGGTGCGATCGGCGAATTTTAATCCAGGTTTCATAACTGGGAGCGTACCTCACATTCAAAATTACCATGAGGTAGCACTGATAAGCAGACCGAAGAGGGTCGGACAGAGAAGGCCCAATATTTGAACACCAGCGGCTCCACTAGCGAGCCTTGAGGCAATATGTAAATTGAGAATGAGTAGACGCGATCGCTGGAACAATAACTCTATTCGCCTGACTTTTCAAATTTCAGTTCGAACCCATCCCCACAGACAGCGGCAGCTACGGGTTATACTGCTTTGCAAAGGCATCATTCAAGTTTCGAGAAGCAATCCCCCGACAAGCAACCCCAGTGACAAGCTAAAGTCTCGTTAAGGTTGGTTGCGTTTTAGCCGAAATAAATGTGCCTTTTGACTGTCCGAGAGAGGTGAGAGTACAGTGAACTGTATTAAGAGGCCTTTAAGGGAACAGAGATGGGCAAATAAATACCGCCTGGAGATTGCAATGAAGGTGCTGTGACTTGACCGGGTACTTAACAATGGCACGAACAGTAAAAGGTGTATGATGTAAAAACGACTACTTAAGCAGCATGCATTGTTCCCATTGATTTTTACTGCTTTTATAAATTTAAATAAATTTTTTAGGAAATATACACGAAAATATTCCTTCTTGTACGTGTTTGGTAGAAAATTATGGCCTCTTCAAAGTGCATGCTTGAATAGAACGCATATTTCGATTATAAAAAGTACCGACAACAGTAGCTTATGTAGCCCACTCATTAATCCCTACAACCTGCATGTTTTCCCACGAAAACGGTGTTTA